GCTTTAGCAGCTGTGTGTCAAGGCTCATTCATTAGTTTTTTTTACCAAGTCTGTAGAATATAAAATCAGTTACTAAGTTGCTCCACGGCCAATGTGAAACCTGTTTTTAACACGAGCCGTGAAATTATGCTCAACTTTTATTCACTACCACTGCTGCCACGCTGACATGTAGGTGTGACAGATCACTATCGCGCCACGCTGGAATTACTTTGATTAGTCATCAAAGCCACCCACTACCTGTGGAAAAAACAGCTGTGCTAGCTGAGGAGAGCAGGGCACCTGACTAACAGAACTGTGCTGACAGTTCATTCATTAACGGCAGAATTATTGTTTTAGCTTTTGAATAAAGGTTGAATAAAACAATATAAGTGTGTGCTTTAAAGGTCCAGTATGTAACATTTAGGAGGATCTAGAAATGGATAAAATATTCATAGGTGTGTTTTCATTCATATATAATCACCTGAAAATAAGAATTGTTTTTATCTACAGAGGGAACAGATCCTCTTCTGGCGGAGTCCGCCATTTTTTGTAGTTTCACCTACACACTTGGAAGGCTGAGCTGTATTCAAATGGTTGCAACTTCACTGCTTGACACCATTAAATCCTGCACACTGGTCCTTTAAAGTAGTGCATGAAAAACGAGAAGAAATTGAAAAATATGTGGAAGAACATACTGTCAGTTTAAGGTAGAGTTCGGGAACACACATCAACAAACTTTACAGTCAGTCAAGCAGCGCTAATGCATGTTGTGTAGGACGGTTTGAATTATTCAGAGTGTACTAAGCGACTGTTCAGCACAGGTCTAGTAACGATGAAAGTGAAGGGTATTTTCTTTTCGATGTCTGCTTTTACATTAAGCCCATATGTCACAGCAAAGGTCACGCTTCCAGATAATCTGCTTAAAGCTGAAATATGTCATCATTCTTCCAATTTCAGCTTCAGTCATGAGCGTGTGCTGTGAATGAGATACCAGACAGAGTATCCTCGGCCTCTGACATTTCCACAGACAAAGAGATTAATCGATCATGGAAATGATTGTTAGTGGGAGCTCTCGAAGCTCTTTCATTAATTTGTTTATTCAGTCATCAATTAAGTGCAGCTATGAATTGTAAGCCAGAAATTAGGGTGTTGGGGTATGTCTTTTGATAGCTGCGTGTTAAAATCAACATTTATTCTGAAAAGTTAAAATAGTAGCAACTTTAGAAAATAAAAAAAAACAATGACTAAAGACAAAGCTAACACAAAATGAAGTTGTCTTTCCAGGAAACTATAGGAAACATTTTAAAACAAAATAAGAATAAAACTCTTATCACATTTATCACTTAAAATATTGGTGATAACATCTTGGACATTAATTCATGTCTTAAGATAAAATGTATGTATTTATAATCAGATAGAACTTGTTATTCCAGTGTACCCTTTATTCTGCATATCTTTATTTAAGGCTCATTTGGGCTCTCCTAATTAAAGCTGAAAAATTAATATTTGGGGCAATGTGGAGCCTTTTATATGTGAGATTATACTTAAGCGCCGCAGCTAGCAGTGTTCAAGCCCACTGGGCACCAGATTAATTCCATTACATAACATTAAGTCAGTCTTAAGTAGGCTACAAGTGAAAATGAAGGCTTCACAGTCACCTAAGCTTTTCCAGGACTCAAAGAGGTGTTATTAGACGATTAAAAGGGACCCTTTAAGTATTCTTTAATAATCAGAAACATTTAGCTGCAGCAGTGAGGCCAAGCGGCAGTGGAAATATTACTTCTAACTGCTTATTATCTCACTCAGCTATAAATGATGGGATTAAAGAGCAGGAAAGCTTGCGCAATACGGCTCCCCTGTTTTGTTAACTACTTCCTCATTGCCTGCTTATCCTTTGACAAATATTGACCGGACCAAAGTTGTGTAGGCATGACGTAACAACATGATGATAAAGGGAAACAGAAGTGTTGTGTTTTTCTACTTTTTCCAGACAAACAGTCAGCTACCTTCAAATGTGTACTGCACACCCACTTTACATCTTGACACTATTTAAATAGACGGAGTAAAGATGTGAACATCTGAACCGCCTCCACAGGTATTTGGAGAGGCATTTAGTCACATTAATAACACAGTGGAAAAAGTAGAAATGCCATGTGACAGTTATTTAAAGATCCCTTCCAGACATATTATATTGTCCAATATATTACATTATATTGGAACAATAATGTGTGTCTGATATGTTTTTCCTGCTAAAAAGTATAATTTCCACTTTAAAATCCTCAAAAAGTAATCTACTCCTTACAGAGTCTATGAATATGCTTATTTTGTTCATTTCTAAAGTTTACACATACATAATTCTGCACAGTGAAGCTCAAACATCCAACTGTAGGAACAAGAAGAAAAACTTTAAATCTGTCCCGTATTAAGAACTTGGCTCCTTGAGTTCGAGTTGACCTCCTGATGGAGTCTGAGTGACAGATTTTGTGCACTTAGCAGCTCGTGGACAAAGTATTTTTGAGTCTCCCTGATGTTATGAGGCATCTTGTTCCATGTGATTTCATTTGTGAAATGTGAATCAGCCGTCTGCCCCCAGACTGACATTGTGTCTGTGTCAGGATACGAGAAAAAAAAAAGAAAACACTCGCCAAAAGACTTATTTGAAAGAACATAAGCTGGCATCTTTTTACATTATCATTAAAGTCAATTCTTCATGCCAGAAATGGAAGATTGAACACTGCGAGCCAGTGTCGAGGGAAGTGAACTCACTCGGCGTAGATTTTGTCTTTGTCAGGTGAAAACCTTGTGATTCCAATTCAAACTGTTTCTCTTTGTTTTGCGGGCTTTAACGAACCCTCTTGTGCATATTCTTTATTGTAAAAATCAGACTTGCTCTTAATATGTGGAAAGATTATATTTTACAGTTATTTGCTACAGTTAAATGAAACTGCTGTTAAATTCACGCTCTCCGCAAACATCTCTGTAAATGATCCGTTTGTCTGCTCCTGCGCTGGGAGCTGCAGCAGTTGCTCTGTTGCCCCGTGGCTCATGAAATCTCAAGTTGATAATATTTGGGCCGCATGTTGGGTTTCATGTCATGTAATTAGATTTTTCGAATGGAGCGAAACCGATGTAATAAATCCATTGCGCAGCTCAGGGTTGACCACTTTAGTTAGTGTTGTCTGGGGAAATGCTCTCAGACTCTCAGAAATGCTACAGACCTACAGCTCTTTTACTGTCTCAGTTATTAACTCCCTGTTCTTGTGCTAACTGTCTCGACTCTACCGGGCCGAGGACACACATTTAGTGAGAACTATTGCAGCATTTAATTAAACATAGGCTTAAAGTACTCAGATATTCTACAGTATGTAAGTAAATGTAGTAATACCACATTGTTGTAAACAAAGTCCCATATTCAAAATCTTACTTTAGTAAAAGCACAAAAGCATCAAAATATACGACCAAACTGGTAAAGGTGGAGCTAAGATTTATTACTTTACACAGCTGTGATGTAAATTCAAGCATCATGATTTATTAGTTGAGTTATATTTCTATTTTATATAACAATCTGTCTGCCAGGTAACTAGTAAATAAATGTGGTGGAGTAAAAGAGCACAATAATGGCCTCAAAAATGTAGTGGAGGGGAGGTATAAGGTAGTATAAAGGGGAAATACTCAAGTACCTAAACATTTTTCTTACAAACTGTACTTGAGTAAATGTATTTAGTTGAGTTTAGTCACACAAGAAGGAAAAACTGTGCGGGATGGGAAGGAAGAGGTGTGGAGGAGAGGGGAGGCAAAATGGAAGAATTGCGGTCGAGCTTGAAAGAAGCACGCGAAGATGGAGTGGATGGAAGGAGAGGAATGAAGGTAGAGGTAAGGGGCGGGGGGGGGGTTACATTCCCAGATGAGGATTAGCAGTCACAAGTTCTCTGCCTGTTCCTGTAAATGCTTACACACTCAGTCCTGGACTTGACCAAACCCTGGCACCTTCTGTTGACATCCAAACACTTCCTGACATTCTGACAGTACCAGGACAAAATACAACCTGAAGTATTCAGATATTATAAAATAAAACTAAATTACACGGATCATATAAAGTCAAGACAATGCGAGCTGCTGTATAGCAATGTACAATAGGTCCCATCATTTTGTCATATGCTTAAACTTTAAATATACATTTAAATATGTGTTTTCTTTAGGGAAACTGACCTGAATCAAACTGTTGCCTTCAAAATCATTCAGAAATCAGTGGGGCATTCAGGTTTCTGACTCCTCCTTGTTGTTTTTGACTTTGATTGTCTGAGGAGTCTGGTGTCAAAAGGGCTGCAGTTGCTCATGTAGACTAGAGATGACATTGGAATGTGTCTCTAAGGTGCTAGAGGAACCCTAGCGCACGCACACGCACACACACGCA